AGGTGTAAGTAGTCCAGATGTTTGTAAACATGTACAATGTACATATTTTGTTTGTGACACGTATCCAATTTCTTATGGTACATCTTTTATTATATTTTAAGAGGTTCAGCGTTCTATATAGAGCCGTTTGTTGACGCAGTTTCATGTATCGATTGCATCAATTTCAATGTATTTGATAAGACATTCATATCGATCTTTATTCAATGTTCCGTTTGAAAACCGACCAATACGGCATCGAGTACTTGTTTCAACAATGTATGTTATTCATACCTATCTTAGTATATAGTTACAACTTACATAGAAAATAACGCTTGGGCACACCTGGTTGGAAATTTTTAAAGTCAAATCTTCTAAAGGATCATATGAATTATTATTATACGATTTAGGGTTAAAAACAACCGATCATGTATATTGTATCAACTGAATTCAAACATTTATTCTAGAGTGCAACTTTTGTTTTGTAAATAGAAGAGGAAACTTGGAAGGGCTCAATGAATAAAATTTTCATGAAAATTTTATTCATTTTTCTCATTCAAAAAATCATAAGAATTTCTCATTCAAAAAATAATAACTTATAAGAGAAAGATAGTTTTCAACCGACTTCAAAAAAAAGGAGGGAGTTCTCAATTCGACTGTATTTTTTTTTATGTTTGTTACCTTAGAACTCCGTCATTTATTAACCGATTTGGACAATTTTTGTGTTGTTTGAAAGTGTATACTTCCAGATTAGTCCCATTTAAATTTCAAAAAAAAATACCGCCCCTAAGGGTGGAAAAATAGCTAATGAGGAATTTAACCTACTTCTAATTGTCATACTGACTTGAAACTTTGCAAGTGTTTCTATTTTCGTTGATAGTACAGTGGTTCGGTATTGTAGACCTGATCTGATGGTAAGGCCAGAAGGTGGATAGGTGGAACTCTTCAACGGCTAATAGTAGATACTTTGAGTTTGGGCTTATTTTGTTTGATTTGACAAGCCTAACACGTTAAAATTCGTACTTTGCTACTACTGTCTACACTAAAAAGGGGAAAATAAAAACTTTGATTAGGTATGTATAGTAAATGAAAACTACCAATCAGTTATTTTTTACTTTTTAGTGCTTTTGTTTGAAGTCGGTTTTATTTTTTTGTTATAAAGTTTTTTTAGATACTGAAGATTAGATATAATTTTTATAATATACCTATACATATAATAAAATTGTAACTAAGCCGAATCTGTACATTAAATATTTTTTGGAAAATCTTATTGAAATAGATATTATTATCGATACAGAGGCCGTATCTATAGTTTTTAGAATTTTTGTCTATCTGTCTGTCTGTTACCGCATCATGGAAAAACAACTGGACGGATTTTGATGAAATTTAGTATATAAATATTTTTATATTTAGTATATATTTAGTTTATATAATAAACTTTTTACCGCGGCAAAATATCTTATTTCTGAGAAAAAAAAATAGAAAAACTGCATTGTAAGAGTATACTAATATGTGAAACCTAAGAATTTGGTTTTTGGTCACCTGAACGCGGGCGCAGCCGCGGGCAATGCTAGTCTTTTATAAATCAATCTGAATGAATATACGAATAGATAAAAAGAAAATATTGAAATGAAATCTTGATCTTATCAACTTTACTCTACTTTAAATCTTAACATTTAATACCAAAAACAAGACAACGTGCTACATTAAGAATGGTAGCGTGATTTCTTTTTAGATTGCGTGGCGAATCTGGTTGTACTCGTAAATTCGCTTAGTCACAGATCGTGACGTTAAACCGCGCACGCTTTACAATTTTAGGAATAAAAAAAACATTTAAGAATCTCCAAGTATAACTATTTATAGCATTATTATGATAAAAAAAAAATATTTTTTGCTGTAAATCTTTAACACTATATAATATATTTTAATAAATTTCTAACTAAAAACAATAGAAATCTAAAAAGACCAAAGAATAGGGATTCATCTCCATATCGCTTTTTTCTTATCTGGGTACTCTCTGTATATATTTTAGTAACGATATAAGTATTACAAATATATCAAAATAAAATATATAGTCCTTGTGTTGGAATAAAAAATGGCTAACATCAAATTCCGATTTATGACTTCATAAGTTTACACTCACTATTTCTACGTCCCTAAAAGTCATAGCGTTATAGCCTAAACGTATCCTAGAACTTTCTCAATAATGGGCTAGAAAAACAAAAATAATTTTTTAAATCGGACTGATTCAAGAGATTAGCGATTTCAAACAAATAAACAAATAATATTTTTTAAGCAATTTCTTCTGCTAATAATAAAACAAAAAGAAGGAGAAATCTTCAAACAAGCCTTCTACCTTCTGCCTTTATATATTAGCAAGGTGATAAATGTTATGGAAACAGAAAATCTAGATTAAAACAGATACAACAAACATTCTTATTTTCAAGAGAAAGTATATCATAAGTATAAGTTTGCGAGTTGAGGTCAATGACAGCGGCGACTTTCGTTTAATGACACCTCGGCACGGGTCTAAACGCTAAGTAGGCATGCAGCGACCATGCATATAAGTAGGCATGAAGAACCATGCACTGCAAACCAGTTGATAATTTCTCTGGCATTTCCAGAGAAGGTGAAATATGTACACTGTACAGACTTTATATATAAACTAGCATTGCCCGCGGCTCCGCCCGCGTTCAGATGACCAAAAACCAAATTCTTAAGTTTTACATATTAGTATACTCTTGCAATGCACTTTTTGCATTTTTTCTCAGAAATGAGATATTTTCCCGCGGTAAAAAATATCCTATATGTTGATCAGGATAACCAGCTACCATAATACCAAATTTCATCAAAATCTGTCCAGTGGTTTTCTCGTGATACGGTAACAGACAGACAAAAATTCTAAAAACTATAGATTCGAACTCTGTATCGATAATAATGTCTATTTCAATTAGATTTTCCAAAAAATATTTAATGTACAGACTCGACTTAGTTACAATTCTATTATATGTACAGAAAATATATAGTAAAAGTATTTTAAAAAAATGACATTGCGTTGGTTTTATATCAAATTTTTGAAAAGCAAAACCTGATGTAATATTTGGAAGGTCAACAGAACGGTAAGTTGGACGTTTTTTTTTAAATATTTTTTACATATTACTTTAAAGTAATAACGGGGTCAAGTTTGTTCATTTAAAAAAGTAGTAAAAGTTTTATTTGTTGGAGCGCAATATGAGAAAACACCTAGATGTGTTTCTGTGAATTTTTTATTGAGTAAATGACTTTTTGGCTAAAAATTTAATTCAAAATTCAAAATTAATATTCAGTATTTTATTTCAAATTGTTTTTAACATCAGTTCGTAAAGAGAATGCCTCATTATGTGGAAGAACTGACGAAAGAAGCTCAGTAGGACAAATTATATTATACCTATTGCATTATTCGAAATTATACTCAATGATCTACTATAATTGAAAGTCTTATACGGTCACATGTATAAAACAGTATAAAATATAGTAAACTAGCGGACCCGACAGACGTTGTCCTGTCTACACGTCTTTAATTTGAAAATTTCAAACTTTTTTGTAATATTTTTTTTGATGAAAATTATTATTCAAATTGTGAATCTAAACCATTCCCAGATCCCCTTGAACACACACAAAAAATTTCATAAAAATCGGTCTAGTCGTTTGAGAGAAGTTCAGTGACATACACACTTACAGAAGAATTATATATATAAAGAATAAGGCATAGTATGGATAAATCTAGATATTATATAAAATATTACAAAGTAAAGGAAAATAAAATATTATTTTTCGTCACGAAATGATTGAATGCTTGCTTTATAACATTTTTATAACTTTAGGCTGTTTAAAATTATTTAAAATTATATAATATAAAAAATACCGAGTGCACGCGCGGAAGTATGTAGGCCGGTGGGGCGTTTGCGATACCCTATCTTACTGGGTTAATAACCTACCGTTACACTGAACAATCGACTTATCACTGCACTTCAAATCTTTATCGAATTGATCGCTAGTAGAGCGCCTTCGATGGTAATAATGGTACTCTATAAACATTCTAACTGCGCTATCAGAATATGTTAGTCATGGCTAGATATTTACAGATATTTCTAGGGCTCTTTTGTGTTGCAAAACACTTATTTAATCTATACTAATATTATAAAAAGGTAAAGTTTGTTTGTGACGTTGTAGAGGGTAATCTCTGGATCTACTGAACCGATTTAGATGAAATTTGGTAAGAAGATAGTTTGAGATCCTGGGAAGGGCATAGGATACTGTTTATTCCGGAAATCATCCCTTAAGGGGATGAAAATGGGGATGAAAGTTTGTATGGGGAATCAACCTAGGGATGAACACTAACGAAGTGAGGATGAGTCGCAAATAAAAAAGTGTTTCGAAACAACAACGAAATAACAACAATTCTAACTTAATTAATAATTAATCTATAAGATTGATATCACGGATTTTATTCCTTTAAAGAAGAAATGAGTAAGCCATGATAAAATAGCTACATACATACATACATACATATATATTAACATAATTTGGTCTAATTTACTTCTTTACAAATTCGCCATTTCCCACTTATTATTTTGAACCACCACTCTCAATCATATAAATAGATCAAGAAATATGTGGGAGACCTATACTTAATATTATAAAGAGGCAGAGTTTTTTCGTTTGTTTGAACGCACTAATCTAAGGAACTAATAATCCGATTTGAAAAATTCTTTTTGCATTAGATAGCCCGTTCATTGAGGAAGGCTATAGGCTATATATCATATAGTATCTAGTCTATCTATACCATATTATATATTAATATTTTATTAGATTAATTTACCAGCTGCTTATCTCCTTTCTACGGTATGCCTATTTTAATCAAATATAAAGAAAGAAGTTTTGAGATTTGTAATCCCTTTGATTTTTTTACCAACTAAAAAATTATACTATATGAACATTGAACAACAATCATTAATTAGTTTTTAATAAACAAGATATATTACCACTGGAGGCGTTTTCCGAGGCGAACAGCGGGGCGGCGTTGTAATCTGAAAAAAATTGAAATAATTAAATAAATATTATGTTTAATTCAACAAACTAAACAACAACAAATTAAAAAAAAAACAATATTAATTTATTTTCTCACTTCTGAAGGGTTTCTGGAAGAAATCTCTTAAAGAGATAAGTTATCCTTTCTCAACATTTTGTTATTTTATTTTGTATAACATATATTTTATGGTACATAAATAAATAAATAAATAAATAAATAAAATTAAATTTTAAAACATACTCTGCTAATAAGTGTATTTCAACTAATAAATCTATATTGCATTACATACTTTAACTCTCGGAAACTACTCGACCTACGATATAAAAATTTGGCTCATACGTAGCTTATAGGTAGGCAACGTCAGCTAAGAACACAGATTTTGCTATTTGAAATAAAGCTAAAAGCTACCGGAAGCCTTTACGAAAATCCTATGCTTCCGCTGCTAGAGACATAAAGATGAGTCACTCTGGTTACACACAAATTAATAAAACAGGCGGAACCTCGGAAAAACGCTAGTATTTCCTATTAACACTATTTATAGGAAACAAATAAGTCACGTGTAACCTTTGAAACTTTTACCATATATATATATATATATATATATATATATATATATATATATATATATATATATATATATATATATATATATATATATATATATATATATATATATATATATATATTACACATAAAATTATAGTACATTAGAAGAAATCGAGGGCATAAAAGGCCATAGGGTCATGTTCATAAAAGTTAATATTAACTACAAGTACCTTTAAAAGCTTTAAAAAAATGTATACAGTTCTAACTTCTAACATGAAATAAAGTAAAAACAATAATATTATGTAGATTACCAGCCGATATAAAATGCAGCTACGAATGCTGCCAATAATGGACTATGAAATATGCGCGAAGGCCACGGGGTAAACGACACTTTCTTACGCAACACCGTCGGTTACTGCACCAGTGTACTTTGACACCGCTGATTAATACTAACACGTATCTATAAAGGACTTTATGCAATGGCTATTGATAATTTAATTAGTGTAAAACTGGATGCGCTTTGCGGACTTTCACCGAGAAATTACCATTTATATTTTACATTGGTTGTAGAGTGCTCGACATTTATCGAATTATCTCAAATCGATATTTTATCTAAATTGAATATGAAATGGTTTTGTTATTGTATTCATAATATAAAGAAATATCCAACCAATAACTATATAGGTAATAAGTATATATTATACCCCCCTTTATAGATATTTTATAACTTAATAATAATCATGAACATTAAATCTTATGTTGTTATATTTTACACTTAAGATTCAAACTTGTCATGCCAATATATTTAGGTTCATTGGTAATATATCGATCCTTTACACAACTGGCTTTTAATATTTTATATTGTATAAAGATTTGTTCTATTAAAGAAGTATAAACTTAAACGATACTACTTTAAAATAATTACTTATCATATAACTAATTCTACGTATAATAGTTAATATTTTCTTGAAATTATAAGGGACAGATTTATTAGAATAAATATGAAAATCGGTTCACAATTAGCAAAATATCGATTACACAAAAAGTCATAAGTCGAGCGCCCTTCATGAATGAAGTGAGTTAAAAATATAAACATATTTTACTTTTCTAACTTCTGTCAAAAAAGCTAACGCTAAGCTTAAATAATGTTTTATTTGACAAATTCTTGATTTATATTAAACGAAAAATACCAATGCACCCAAATTCAAGGAAAAAGTAGCAATAAATGGGTTTAAAATTTAAATACAATAAATTGGAATTATATTGAAAAGTTAGTAAATAATTATTTTAAAATATAATAGCGTAAAACTGACATACTGATCGAGTATTCAGTTGAATCGTCGGCTGCCATATTGCTTACATCTATGGCATGCAAATGTGTACGATTACAAGGAGACGGTATGTGTGTATGTATATTGTATAAGAAGCATGTGTGAATTGTACAACGCTGTGTGCGTGAGTTCGCGGCCTCTTATATAGAATCAAGCTTGGTAGTATTAAACATATTATATATTTTTTTATATATACATACATGTGAGAAACCAAGCTTTTTCACACGGCTTCGCTCGCGTAGTTTTTGTATAGAGTTGATGCCGGTACTCTTTTTACCCTGTTCTTCTTTGTCACATGCTAGATGGGGTAGACACTACATGTTCCTTTCTTCAATTTACCTCTAGAAGGTATTACATAACACTCACACCTTTCACACATAGCTTGGTATACTTCTACTTTTGTATCCATCCACATTCCTTACTTTCTCGCTTATAGTAATTATATGACTTTCACAAACAACACTAACCTGTTATTCCTCTATTATCTGACTGGTACTACATTCAATATAACATGTAGGTATAAGCTTGTGATAAAGATATAGATCAAAGTGTAATAAGACAATTGGACCCAGTTATGCAAAAAACAGCCATATGCGTAAAAGTACCAACAGAGTTATAAGCATTTTATTATAAAAAATAAAATAATTATAAAAAATTAACAATACTTGTATAAATATTGTTCAATTTTAAAATAACCAGAAAAACAAAACATAACCCAAGTGCAACTATCGACAGAAAAATGCTTATAACTCTGTTGGTACTTTTACGCACATGGCTGTTTTTTGCATAACTGGGTCCAATTTACTGGCGGTAACCAACACCGCACCTTATCTAAACAGTCCGAGATAAGCAACTTTATTGTCAATTAGCCTCCCTGATATTGCCACACGGGAACAACTTGTACCGAGGTAGAGTCTAGATGTGACTCCGGTCAGAAGAGTAAGCCCATACATAACGTTGGTATAAACACATCTACGGAAAGGTAATCCGTTACTATTAGTTAATATAGATAACAATCATTTTTTTAAATTAATAAATTGAGTAGAACCCCGGGAAACGCCAGAGTAATAATATTACCGTAAAACTAACAATAAGATGAATATGTCAATAAGCGCTCGTAGGCTTGAATGGATACAACGAAAAGCAATATAATCAAGTTTCATTTTCCTTTTATTATGTTATTTTATATTTTACACATATCGACTTGTAGCAGACTTCGTAAAACCTTAACAAAACGTTTAATACAAATTAATTAACCAAAAGATTATCTCACTCTTCTCGCCCCGCCACAGAATCCAGTCAATCTCACTCGACAGATACGAGACAGATCTACTGTAGGTCCCGGACGACTTATAAGTAATTCAAAAGAATTATCAACCGACTTCTTTCTTAAAAACTTTAATGCTCCTAGATGTTTTCCCCCAGTTAAATATTTACTTGAACTACACACTTTCACTCTATTAACGTTTAAGCGTACTATACAGATAAATAAAATTGAAGTGTCTGTTTGTAATGTCATAATAACAGCTTTTTACTAAATATTATTTATATACGGTATTCATAAGATTTTTATTTTTTATTTTTGTCTGTGCGTCTGTTTGTTTCTTCCGGCTAATCTCCGAAACGGCTGGACAGATTTTGGCGGGGCTTTCACTGGTAGATAGCTGATGTTATAAGGAGTAACTAAGGCTACTTTAATTTTAAAAAAAGAATAAAGGTTCCGCTCAAAAAAATTAAAACCTACCTAGGGACGTACCCGAGTGGAGCTAGGGTGAGTAGCTAGTATTTATTGAACGAAAAATGAAAGAAAATGACCAAAAACGATATATGTAGTATGTGCAAAACGCTCTATCCTTTTTGTCTACATGTCTACTATGGTATGAAAATGTAAGTTCACACGTAACATCCATAATTTGATAAGTATTTCGTGACGTATTGTTTCAACTAGTAAATAAAAGTTACCGCGGTATTATAATCGCTTCCATGTTTATCATTTCCGGTGTAAATGTAGATACATATGTAGTTAGTAAAAAGCCGCATTTAGCCGCTGTTAAAGTTTGCAGTTGTTATAATCAGTCCTGACCTAAAGCAACGTGTTCTGTCTCGTTTCCCCTACTGACCGTACACTGAAACAATCCCACATAAATTCTGTATGGTTTAAGCTGTAATAACCTTCTGTTTAATAATAAGCTTTATTTCGAGGGCGGTAAAAACGAGCTTTTTAATGCACAGGAAGGCCAATATACAAAGAACTGTTTACAGTTTATGCAAAAATGTGCAGAATACGTCTCACGCACGCTTCTATATACTCATATACCTATGTATCAATGGCTTCTCTTGTATATAAAAGAATTTCAGGGTTGACATGTTCATTAAAAAAAATTCAAGTAAATAAAAATATATTAGTTGTTTCATTCTTTTTACATATCACTTACATATCTATCTACATGTACGCTTTTCTCTACGACAATATTAACTATGGAACAATGTAAATATAGGCCAATATAAGAAATAAATACTTATTAGATAAATATACTTTTAAAATAATCTATACTAATTTTATAAAAAGGCAGAGTTTGTTTGTTTGAACGCGCTAATCTCAAGAACTACTAACCCGATTAAAAAAAACTTTTTGCATTACATATTCCGTTTATTGAGGAAGGCTATTGGTTATATATCATATAGTATATAGTCTATCAATTCCATACTAACCGTTAAAACGTATCTAGGGACGAACCCGAGCGGAGCGAGGGTGAGCCGCTAGTATAATACATTATAATACTTTACTACGTTAAAATAAAAGCATTTTATAGAAAAAATGTATGGTTAAAAGTTAAAATATTAATTCCTCCACACCCGCGGACACGCCGGCGTTACAGTTAACAATAGATTTCTTAGAAATTTAATAAATTTCTTAGAAATTTACCTGAAGGTGTTAATTTATGTAGAGTTCAGCAGTGTCCCAATTTTGGTTTCGCAATACGCATCGGAGGTTATTCATATTATCAAACATCTATTTATTTTTAAAACATAAACAAACGAAAATAAAACATTTATGTAATCGACTTAAGAGATTAAAAGGTAGATATAACCATCTATGGAAAGCTAGCAAGTGAAGTGGGCAGCCCTGTCAGTGGGAGGGTGCGGTAGGGTGGGGCAGGGAGCAGTCCTGACCACGCACAACTAGGTGCCTCGTTTCCCGACGGCCTATATTTAGCCTTGCATTTCACTGTACTCGGAAATTGTACGCCATGTTTAAACGAAACCATGGTAGTGCAAAGCTGTAGATGTAAATGCGTATAATAAACGCGAAAACTAACATTATAAATTCCAAGCTATGTAACTATATACATTAGATGTACATTGTGCATGTTGTCTATAATAATATTCTATTCACTAAAGGGAATAGTTCCAACTTACCAAAGATAGATTCTTTGATGGTGGCAAACTTTTTTGCAAGTAAAAAGACTTTTGTGGTTCAGAATTCCGGAAGGTGAAAACAGATTTGTAAGTATAGTTTTACGTTTAATACTATTTATCTATTCTGATTGTTTATATTCAAGTAAAAATAAGAAAACACATAAACGGGGCATACAGCCATGAACCGCGACCAATGTTTTGCGGTTAGTGACGTCATGTCATGTCACGTCAGGTGACAGTTGTTAGTGTTTTAGCGGGAAAATTCAAAATTACTCTATTTTGTATATTTTTTCATCGAAAATACTAATATTTTTAGTTAAATTTTTTTTATGGTAAACATGAGTCAATCTTCAAAATAAAAGCAAATCCGAAAAATTGTTATCATCCCCATTTTGATCATAAATATTTTTTTGGATTGTATTATAACGTGTTTTCCCGTGGGAATTAGATAATCTCCCGCGGTAAAAAGTAGCCTATGTCACTCTCCAGCCCTCTAACTATATCCACACCAAAAAATCACGCCAATCCATCACTCCGTTTCAACGTGAAAGAAGGACAAACGAACAAACAAACAAACAAACAAACAAACAAACACACTTTCACATTTAAAATATTAATTATAGATTAAATATAATATAGGTTATAGACGACATCCTCCAAAATATTAGGACAATTTTTTTTTTTTTAAATAAGGCTATACCTACAAAGTAGCTTGTAAATGAAATAATTATACTTCAGTCTATATATAGGGTCTCAGTTGAACAATTTGTTTAGCTGAATCTATTGTATTTGGCTAAGCTCCATATTACATTGTTTTTATTTGAGAAACTCTAACTATGTTGCGTACAGAGATTGTGTTAAAACTGCAACCAACAATATAATTTAAAAGTCAATTTTTAATCGCACGTCGATTTCTTTACTTTCTTTATTTCTAGTGTATAATAAAAGTAAAGTTAATGAATGGGTTGAAGAATGAAAGAATCGTGTCTTTATAGTGATAGAGCAAAGTTAACAAGTGTGTAGATATGTATATTAAGTACAAAAAATTTGACTCTACAATTTTATATTCTATACAATAATTTTAGTTTCTTTTGAGAATTGAGGGTTTCATTAGACCACAATGTTCACTTTTATTACACAGTAGTCAAGAGCAATTGCTGGCTTCTAGTCTCTACTTAAGAAATAAACAAGAGTTTGAAAGCAGTAACATTACTCACTAGTTATTAGGTTGTGAGGAAATCTTTAACATGTTATTGTGAAGAACCACTGCATTGAACTGTGAGAATCGAGACCCCACCCATTTCCTTTTGGCTTTGACAAAGTTGTATTGTATGGTTTTATGTTGAGATTATTAGAAGGTAACAAGTTGTTCTAAGAAATGACCATGTAATTGACATAAGACAAAACTATATCAAACTATGATGATAAGTCATAAGTCAGGACATTAACACACAACACCATCTAGTTCCATGGTAAGCTACGAGGCTTGTGTTATGGATACCAGATAGTTGATACACTACATATATATAACTTTAAATACATACATATTATAAATATTTAGATTAGAGATTTCATTTCGCATTAGGAAACATGTTATTTACTTGCTAACAAATTGTTATTTTTATGTGTAATTTACTTATTAATATGATCATTATCATGCAATTAGTAATTCTGAAAGAAATCATTCTGAAAATGTAATAATTAAATCGTTCGTAAATCTTTATAATATAATTCTTGTTCAATCTACGTGACATTGTCGAAGTAATCTGAGCTCAATAGGCAGTCATTTACCAAGAGAATTGAATTGAGTGAATTTCATCAGTATTATAATATCGAAACTCTAAAAGATATCTTACATTACGAGAAAAAATACTTACAGAGTACATACAAGTGAGGTTTTGTAGTCCAAATTACATTTACACTGTTGTTATCTTGTGGTTAAGCGTGATCGGGTTGCGGGTGGGCGTGACCACAACTACCTCCTAGTGCAGACATGTTATCATTACAGTGAACTCTAAATGTGCCTTTCGTTTGTGTTATATGAGAAAATGCGGTGAAAATGCGGCGCGAAAGATATTATGGATATAAAATTTTTAATATAAAAATTTAGATTATACGGTAGAAAAACTTAAAACTCTTGATTTATTATAATACCTTCTATTTTTTTGTGTTTTACCATAGATTTAATAATATTATAATCATCACTGTTTTCTATTTTTTTAAAGAAAATTAATTATTTATTACCTTAATAATTAATTATCTTTAAATATTTAAAATGAATTAAGATAAATTCCAGTAATAAATTCTCTTATAAATATAGTTTTATTATTGTGACTATTATTGATAATAATTACATAATTATAATTGTACTTGCAGTGTAAACCGATGTTCAATGGCTTACAAAACCTGCAGCCGTCTATGGAGGAAACCTTAGGATTTCCGAGCATGACCAGAATTAATACACTAGTGAAAGCATCATATTTTCCAAGTGCACGTTTCATTCGAATTAAGTTTTCTACGAAAGAGAAATCGAATATCGAACGCGACTCTGGAAAAAACGAAGTCCTAGATAGAAAAAGTGCAACAACGTGCGGCATGAGTTCGTCCTACAGCAACATAAATCGATAATAGGAAGCCCTCCGAGTAGTTCAGCAGTGCGTGCGAGCGACCTAATACACCCACTACGAGCCACTCGCAATGCGGGCTAAATATACGGAACCCGGCGCGGCGTTCCGACGGCAGACCGAATGAACCGTCTGAACGGAACTTATGTTGCAACGACAAAGTCCACAATTGCTTGTCCAGAGAAAATAACCGGTTTTAGCAAACGAGTAGACGACTCGGCACCCACTGTAGTCGTATTTGGGTGCATTTTGGATCGAATCTCAAGAGGAAGAAGGCCGTTTCACAACGAGCGGTCGTGGTAATAACACGCTATGCATTCTCGCTGCAATTTCGCTCTCGGTCGGGCTGTGTGTTTGTAGCGCTGAAGATCAGGGCTAACGATCGCGGCGGTCTCGCTCGCACACGACTCTACTCGACGACTTGTTCCTCTTTCCTCCGCATGTTTAGTAAAAGAAATGCTACAACTTTATCTGACAGCGACGCGACGCGACGCCGAGAGGCTTTTGTGCGTTTTCTATGTTTATGATTATACGAGAACACGTATAAGGGGCCCTTTGAACGCGTTACTAGCTACATAATTCTGCAAGTTTTGTTTTTGTTCAGTTTTTATTGAAGGAACGCGTTGCGTACAATACGCGGGTTATTATGAAGTAACCGCATCGGCATGCTTATTTGCAATAAACTTAGACTCTAAATACTATACTGTAGTAAAAAATATAGTTTAGAAGAAGCAATTATATAAAACATTAAGTCAGGACTCAAGTGGAACGGAAAGTACTGGTGTGTTTTATACTTTCAGACTCCAGTAAAGATAAAACAGATACGAGCAAAATCTCAATATACCAAACATAATTGTTGTTACATTCATTTTACATTCAACTCGATTAGGGTCAAAAGTGATAATAATTGTAAAGGTTATCGAATCGCTTACTCAGTTATTCTAAATCGATTTCAACTGTTTGCGTTGAAAATTAGAGAATCGAATTCGAACAAAATTAAACACTTTGTCATGCATTCTATAAAATCTTTTCAAATTAGGCACGAAAATTGACCAATTTTCTCAATATAAGAGTTAAATATTTTTACTTTGAAGTAAAAGTTTTTATTAGCTTGGATAATAATGAACTTTACACGGTGTAAAGTTTATTATTATACACATTTATTTTCTAACTTCAAATAAGAATACCTTTTTCAAATTCTATACAAATTAGATTACATAACACGTGCGAACATCTTTAAAGGGGTCAAATTTCAAGGGAAGCAATGGATTTCAAAGGGATTAGAATCGGTGGGGGTACGGTTGATTTAATTTCGAGTATTATGCCAGTATAATAGGTTGTGAGTACTATATTTACTTTGGGGCACGTGTTCCGATCTGAATGGGCCCGCCCTTGACCCCGGACGCACGCATCGCCCGCCCAAACGGCCGGCCGCGCCTCTGAGCATATCTCCCCCCCTCTCCCTAGTAATGCTCCTTCCTCTGATCAATAGCATGCCGCTCTAACATTTTCCGCAAATAGGCAAATACTAGATTTCATCATAAAAACGTTATTATCTATACATATAATGAAATTGTAACTATGTCGAATCTGTACATTAAATATTTTTTGGAAAATCTTATTGAAATAGACATTATTATCGATACAGAGCCCGAATCTATAGTTTTTAGAATTTTCGTCTGTCTGTCTGTCTGTTACCGCATCACGAGAAAACCACTGAACAGATTTTAATGAAATTTGGTATGATTGTAGCTGGTTATCCGGGTCAACATATAGGATACTTTTTACCGCGGGAAAATATTTTATTTCTGAGAAAAAATACAAAAACTGCATTTTAAGAGTATACTAATATGTAAAACCTAAGAATTTGGTTTTTGGTCATCTGAACGCGGGCGGAGCCGCGGGCAATGCTAGTAATAAAATAAGATCCATCTTTATTTTATTATAAGGGTACCTATTTATTTTCGGAGTAGGTACACGAAATAGGAAGATAGGTGTTTTATCTTCAACCTCCTTGTTATTCTATATATTAGACCTTGTATTGTTGCGTAAATCATTATATTTTATGACTGCCGATGAATTATCTTGTGTAATTTAAACGTAATTTGCAGTTTGCTTTAATGCTTTACTTTAGTTTCGAATGAATAGTTCAATGAAGATTGAAATTAATTGTGGCCGACGATACGGAAAATGAATTTGCCATGAGAAGGTCATTTGTAGATAATGTAAGGTTTGTAGTCTACAATTATTTGCTTAGAGTTAGTCAATTTTGTATTCATTCGATATCGATATACCGAATGCATACATTTAATATTTCACAAACTAGTGCAATTTTATGAGATATGAAATATATATATATATATATATATATATATATATATATATATATATATATATATATATATAATTTTTATTATATTTCTCATTACTATTTTATACAAACAGCATAAAATATCACATCAAAATTTCATAAAATAAAACACCATTGTTTGATTTTACTATCTGAAATACCAAATTCCCATGATTTTTATAAACATTTCTCTTTTACGTAAAGTTATTTCCGCTGCGCACAGCAATAGAGGTGGAATATACTCTGTCACGCAAAGGTCGCTCTGTGTGAGTGCATGCCTATGTGTGGGACAATGTTCATGTGGCGTGTAGAGAATAGTGACCGGCGGTGTTACGTAAGACTGGCTGTGATAGTACACGCAGTCGCTATCGAAAGCGTCCAAGTCTGGCTACGTAAGGCACTGGCGACCTTCGCTGCACATTTACCAAGTAATGTATGCGAATTCTACAGTTTTCTTCGACTTTGAACGTTGTAGTCATAATGAAAGCAATGTTTGTCCAACACGATCGATAGTCCGGTGTCTAGTAGAGCCATTCGGTTGCTAGGATGGTCATTTACACGTGTCTGTTCCACTTCCGACTTGATTTTTGTTTAAATTTGTTTTACTTACAATATTGCTAGTTTTCTTAAGTATTAGGTAGGATTAGATTCTTATAGTTAAGCTACCACTTTTCCTGTACCTGTTCAATAAATTTTCATACTAATTTAGGAATATTTTAGTAGTTTTTTAACGTGTATATAGGACTGTATGTATGTATTCAGCCCTTTTTAACGTCCCACTGCTGGGCACGGGCCTCCCTTCAATACGAGGGCGATAAGGCCATAGTCCACCACGCTGGCCAAGTGCGGGTTGGCGGACTTCACATGTCTTTCGAAGACTTGCTAATTTCTCTAAGACATGCAGGTTTCCTCACGAGGTTTTCCTTCACCGTTAAACAAGTGGTAACCATGTTGGAAATGATTCACACATGAAAATGTCAGAAGTGCGAGACCCGGGATTTGAACTCGCTTCACTCGGTTTCCCAAGCGAGCGCGTTACCACTGGGCTACCACTGCCTTTTATATAGGACTGATAAGTTTAAAATATAAAAAAATGTGGTTACTTTATAACAGAGTAGAAACTAGAAACAAAACAGGTTATTTTAATATTTACATCTAGCAACCTGTTTTCGTCGAATCTAAATTTTATTATTCATTGTTAAAGAAGCAGTTTAAAATCCAATGGCTACGCTATTAAGCAAATGTTGTATTTAACAAATTTTATTAGTTCCAAATATTATTATTACTAGTGACTCACTTTCCTAGTGTTTCTCGGTGCCTAACAATAGCCTATAAAATATAAATATTTTATATATAAGAATATATATTACTCCAGGTCAAAGTCTATCAGTGTAAGTACTAAATTTCATTCAAATTCTTCCAGCCCCTCATTGTGAAGGGCACAAAGACACAGACACACATACAAACTTTCGCATTTATAATAGTAGCATATAGTATAAAGTATACTATATTAAATTAATCAAATTTCTTGTGTAATCAATTGAATATTTTATTAAAATCTAGATAACATAATCACGCTATATCCTAGGGTAGTGGGCAGCGGTAGAGAGATGTGCCAAAATCGGTTTTATTAATTATTTAATCATATTTATCTTTCTGAAGAAGAATTAGAAAATCTATAGCTGCCTTTTTAAGAAGTAACCTACGGTCACCTTGGCCGAATTTCAAATCTGCCGGTACAATGAGCAAGTAGGCCGTTCTATTGCCCATTGTCAATATGCTTGCGCAACTCAAGCTAGAGTATAGCATCTTTGTGCTCGAATGGAATCATAGTAAATCTTAAAAGGAATTGGATTGTTGAGTGTTTACAGATGGTTAAGCTTATTTAAGTAAATATTTTACTAATATTATTAATGTGATAATGTGTTTGCTGCGTTTTCGTTGTTTGAAGCAACGAAAGGAAGATTTATTTTTTTATGGGCAAACGAGTCTAATACGTAACTCTGGATGTTATCGTGAGAATCAGGATATACTTAAATAGATATAGTATAGTAAACATAAAATTAAATTAATTTTTTATCTATACATATAATAAAATTGCAACTAAGCCGAATCTGTACATTAGTTTTTTTTTTGGATAATCTTATTGATATATACATTGTTGTCGATACAGAGGCCGAATCTACAGTTTTTAGAATTTTTGTCTGTCTGTCTATTACCGCATCACACAAAAACCACTGGAGGGATTTTTATGAAATTTATATATAAAATTATACTTTTTACCGCGGGAAAATACCTCATTAGGTACTGAGAAAAAATACAAAAATTGCAATATAAGAGTATATCAATATGTAAAACCTAAGAATTTGGTTTTTGGTCATCTGAACGCGGGCGAAGCCTCGGCCAATGCTAGTTTTTAATAAATTAAATTAAAAGAAAGTTTTTATCGTCACGCACATATCAAAATAATTTTTTATGTGGACTTCTAAAAAGTATTTAATTAATTAAATAAATAACAGTTTCTCTTAATTAAAGCCAGATAAATATCTGAGAGTATCGAATCAATGGTATGAATGACGTTTCCTTGTAAAAACCTTTAGCAATGTGCACGTATTCGTGGAATACATGCGATGGCAAACATTAAGGACCATATACATGCAAATTGATATATTTAAGAAATTTATCGATTGCTAAATAAAAATTACAGATATCATTTCTAATTATAATATTAATAATAATATTGAATACAAAATTGGAATAACAGAAGAATAATCTAATTAAAGCCAAAGATTTGCCTTCATAAATCTAGACGATAATAGAAAAATTATAAAGTAGGTACATAATATTTTTAAAGATTTGCAACTCACTTGCATCTTAGTTATTGTTGCAGTGAATATTGTTTATTGTGCAGTCGCCCTTATTTTTAGTAAAGTTTAATAACCTCAGTGATAAGAAAGCTAATTCAGGACGAGGAAAATTTACTTCATTATTATATTGCAGTTACGCCTTCAATAACCTTAAACTTGAAAATAAATATAATTTTATAGTGTATGTACATATATTACAACGTAATTTTTTTAAACATATAGCTTGAGTGTTTATTTTTCCGATATCTTAGAGGAAACTAAAATATTATCCATAGACATATATATGTATATAATAAATAACTAACTAGCTTTTGACTCAATTGTGCTGTGGATATAAATAAAAAGTGTAAAAAATAAATAATTAAATGAATTCTGCAAATTAAAATTACACACAAGCGTCTAAGAGCGTTACGCAAAAACAAAATTTATATTCTTATATAATGTCTTCATACTAACATTAAAAGCCGATAGAGAAGTAATACAAATTACCCATTCTTGAATTCTAACGACTCTATATTTTTTATTTCGGTCAACGGCCTTGCGGGCGCATTGTGTTCGCTCCATTGACATCGATCTTTGGGGTTAGACTTAATGAAAAAAGTCGCTTAGTAATAAAAGCTTAAACGCGCATTCATGTGACAGGCGCGCACGTGTGAACAAACTGAATAACATCAGACTTTTGAAATTCACCCTTTGCAAACTGGTTCTGATTGGAAACGATGCATTTGTTAATAAATATAAACATTTGATATTCTTCGGTAAAAAGAAATCGGTACGTTCGGGCAAACTTTTAAATTATTTTTACGAGCGAACAGTTTATTTAAACCCACGCTCTGTCTTCGTGTTCTTCACACTATTTTTTTATAGATAATCCGAGCTTAGTACAACAAAGTCACGGTAACCGATCAGCAAAAAAATGTTTATTAATGAGAACTTTGACCTCGTGTCTTAAGAATTTATATGTTAGTAGCAATTATATATTTAAAAACCTAACTTGAATGCCTTAATATTTTTTTTTGTATAATTTAATCGTATAATATGAATAATTAAAGAGTTTCAAAATATAACTACTGTTCAGAAACGAACGGTTTAATGGTTTCGTCAATAAATTTATTTCTTGTTAACTTCATATCACATCTAATTCTTTTCGTGCGTTCATTATAATTCAGAAAATTATGTATGAAACGTCAATTTTATCATGTAATGAATGTGTAATTACTACCTACGTGTCATTATGCTCAATAATTTATATTTAAAGAACATTAAGTATCTTTAATT